CAGAAGTGTGTGTGGGTTTAGGGCGTGTCCTTCCGCGTTAGTTAGTACCTGCTGCAGCCTGCAGAGTGTGCGTGCGTGCGTGCGTGTGTGCGTGTGCGTGTGCTTGTGTGTGTGCGTGTGTGTGTGTGTGTGTGTGTGTGTGTGTGTGTGTGTGTGTGTGTGTGTGTGTGCGTGTGTGTGTGTGTGTGTGTGTGTGTGTGTGTGTGTGTGTGTGTGTGTGTGTGTGTGTGTGTGTGTGTGTGTGTGTGTGTGTGTGTGTGTGTGTGTGTGTGGGAGAGTGAGTGTGTGTGTGTGTGTGTGTGTGTGTTGTGTGTGTGTGTGTGTGTGTGTGTGTGTGTGTGTGTGTGTGTGTGTGTGTGCGTGCGTGTGTGTGTGCGCGCTGATAACGGAGAGAAAGGGGAAATGAGTGTTTCCGTCTCTCTGCTTCACTCACAGCAGCTCTCAGAGGTACGTCTTATTATATCTTTACATTAATAATACTCTCACACTCACACACACTGATGGTCTTCAGGTGGGATGCTTTAAGGTTAATCTGTTTTATTTATTTAGTAAAATCTTAGAAAACAATATAAATGTGATGAAATAGGAATGAATGAGCGTTAAATCCACGTTGTGATCTATTCTCATGGTTGAACTCACAGCTGCTGCAGTGATACAGAGTGTTGGTATAGGTCATTCATATCATTAACCGTGTAACGTTTTAACTACAGTTTGCAGTAGCTTGCTGTTTGTGTATAGTGGGTAAGGCAGGCGTCTTAAAATGTGTTTTCTGCTTTTAACTATAATATCTTCAGTTATTGACGAGCCCCACCCCCTTCATAACGTCTATCCTTATATGTGAAATAAACGTCCAACCAATGAGGCATTTTTTCCTAGCTTGTAACTTTATATAATTGTTTGTGTTGAATCACATCTTGTTGATTGGATTTTTAGTTTTAACTTTTTAAACTGGATTCGTCCCTCTAACGTCCCTCTAACGTCCCTCTAACGTCCCACTAACGTCCCTCTAACATCGGCCCTCTAACGTCCCTCTAACGTCCCTCTAACATCGGCCCTCTAAGGTCCCTCTAACGTCCCTTTAACGTCCCTCTAACGTCCCACTAACGTCCCTCTAACGTCCCTCTAACGTCCCTTTGACGTCCCTCTAACGTCCCACTAACGTCCCTCTAACGTCCCTCTAACGTCGTCCCTCTAACGTCCCACTAACGTCCCTCTAACGTCCCTCTAACGTCCCTCTAACGTCGTCCCTCTAACGTCCCTCTAACGTCCCTCTAACGTCCCACTAACGTCCCTCTAACGTCCCTCTAACGTCGTCCCTCTAACGTCCCTTTAACGTCCCTCTAACGTCCATCTAACATCCCTCTAATGTCGTCCCTCTAACGTCCCTCTAACGTCCCTCTAACGTCCCTCTAACGTCCCACTAACGTCCCTCTAACGTCCCCCGGTGTGAAGAAACTGGTTGTAACGCTTTTTAAGTAACTTCCCCAAAGACCCAGTTTCCTCCTGAGGAAGTCTAAAAACAGACTCTCTGAAACACGTTTGATTAAGAACTAAACACGCTTTTTAAAATACCAACAAGTTATTTAAACAACAATATTAAGACTTTGTTTAAATGTATATATCACCAAACATTGAAACAGGCTCTGCTATTCATAATACCTGTAGTCCAAGGTGAGTTTAAGTCTGACAAAAAGCACATTTATGTTCGATGCATCAAAACCAGAGGACGTAACGAACCGTACGTGGGAGTCAGTTATCAGTAATGTGTGTACGTGGATTTCTTTACATCAAAATCATACAAGTAGGTTTTGTACTCGTAGATTTATGCACACATACATTTGTACATGATTTGTACACATAGATTTATGTCCATAGATTTATACACAGTGTATACACGTAGATGTGTTCTTGATTTGTACACGTAGTTTAAACTAATTCATTTATACACGTAGATCTATAAAATGTACACCAGGATGGCCGAGTGGTTAAGGCGTTGGACTTAAGATCCAATGGACGTCAGTCCTCGTGGGTTCGAACCCCACTCCTGGTAGCTGGAGGATGTTTTAAACTGACAGGTAGAGACTGATCTACAGGTACCTGGTGGTGAGAGAGTGATTTCTACACGTAGGCCTTTGAGTGTTTGCAAAGGCAAATACAGTCAATCCATAAAGTGAGTCTTTCCCTTTGTGTCCTGAGGTCAGAGGTCAATTCAAATCCAAAGGTGTTATCATCACATGCTCATAAACTACAGCGTAGAAAGGGCTTCTGAGCTGAGCTACCCACAATGCAACATGTATAATAAAATACAAGAAGTCTGTATCCATGTAAATAGAATATGATGTCTATATTGAAGGTGCTGCAGGACGATGAGGGACCGCCTGACCGATCTGCAGACCTTCAAACCTGCAGAGGAAGAAGAGGTCTGTCTGCATGGAGGCGAGGAAGACGAGGATGAAGACCTGGGCCTGGTTTTCCAGGGCGAGGACGTGATGGACCACGTCTACAAAGAGGCGCAGGTGCTGAGGAAAGAGATGCTTCTTCTGAAGCTGGACGTGAAGCGACTCGGGAAGCAGAACAGCCGCTTCCTCACCTCCGTACGGCGCGTCAGCAGCATCAAACGGGACTCCAACGCCCTGGGGAGGGGCATCAAGAGCCGGGGGGAGGCGGTCTACGCTCGTCTGCAGAAACTAGGGAAGCTGAGCAAAGATCTGGAAGAAGAACACGGTCCAACGTCCGCTGTTTCTCGAATGGCGCGATCGCAGTGCGTCTCGTTGAACTCCGCCTTCCACAACGCCATCTCCGAGTACAACGAGGCGGAGCTGATCCAGAGGGAGAACTGCAAGACGCGGATCCAACGGCAGGCGGAGATCATGGGGAAGCAGGTGAGCCGCGAGCAGATCGACCACATGATTGAGACGGGGAAGTGGAACGTGTTCTCCGATAACTTGCTTCTGGAGGGTCGATCTGCGAGGACGGCGCTCAGCGAGATGGAGAACCGGCAGCGGGAGCTTCTGGAGCTGGAGCAGAGGATTCGAGATGTCCACGATCTGTTTGCCCAGATGGCCTCGCTGGTGGAGGAGCAGGGCGTCATGCTGGACAACATCCAGGCCAACGTGGGCGCCACGCAGGACTACGTGGCCAAGGCCAACGTGCAGATCAAGAAGGCCGTGAAGTACCAGAGGAACCATCCCTGCAGGAGGCTCTTCTGCTGCTGCTGCCCCTGCTGCGACTGACACGCGTCCCGCTGCTCGTTGGAAGTATTCACGACATCTGAAAACATCTGGCCTTCTTCTCCCACATCGTACACCGCAGAACCTCTGAACCAACATCGAAACGTGCTGCTCAGCTCGGACGTGCTCGTCATTACCCGGGACGTTCATAACTTTCTGAATTCTAGAAACATTATGACTACGTACCAAAAGGCCAGCGTTCAGATCAGGAAGGCCGTGAAGTACCAGAGGAAGGAAACTCTGCTGCTGCCCCTGCCTGCTGCCCCTGCTGCCCCTGCTGCCCCTGCTGCCCCTGCTGCCCCCTGCTGCCCCTGCTGCCCCTGCTACAACTAACAATAATAATAATAACTTCAATTGATATAGCGTCTTCTAGGGGTCCCAAGGTCGAGTAAAACCAAAACAGTCAGTCAAACAAAACAACGCACACTGACCCAGGGTTTTTTATTGGAAGTATTCACGACACAAGTTCTTCGTCTGAAAACATCCTGACTGTTGATTGCCTTCTTCTCCACGTTTTACATCGTAGAATCTCCGTTTCCACATCCAAACGTTCGGCTCGATTAGGACAAGCTCGCTCTCGCTCCGTACGTTCATAACGGTCATAATTCCAGAAATAAACAAAGATGATTCATCAACATGTTGGAGCCGTGGGAGTATTTCTAGAATTGTGACACTTCTGAACGTCCTGAGGAATAGCGATCATGTCCTGATCGAGCCGCACGCTTTCATGTTGGAACGGAGATTCTGCGATGTGGAAGGAGAGGCAGGATACGTCCAGACGAAGAACATACAGCAAGCAGCATTCACACCTGCCTCTCCTGCAGAGTGATGTGTGTGTGTGTGTGTGTGTGTGTGTGTGTGTGTGTGTGTCTGTGTTTGTGTGTGTGTGTGTGTGTGTGTGTGTGTGTGTGTGTGTGTGTGTATGTGTGTGTGTGAGAGAGAGAGAGAGAGAGTGTGTGTGTGTCTCTCTCTCTGTGTGTGTG